TTGTGAATCTTTAGTAAATGATCGATTCACAGGGCAATATATAAATCAGCTCTTCAAAGGGAGACTGAAACCTTAAAATTCATTAAAAGAGAGAATTTTGATCTCTTCAGCTCTTCAAAGAGAGACTGAAACCTTAGAGTTCAATGGAAGAGAGAACTCTAATCTCCTGCTTTTTACTGAAAAATGGCTTCCCGATTTATTCATCAAAATCCCCTTTAAATAGGAGTATTATTACATCAGTAGGAAGTCTAATACTTATGGAAGTAGGAGACCTCAATCCTATTCCAAACTAATAACTATAACTTAACCTAATCCTTATGAAACTCTGAAACATAAAACCTATTCTAGAACAATAAATAAGCAACTAAAAATATAATTAAATACTTAAATTAATGACTTCCAACGCATCCCTAACATTATTCCCGTCAAGTTGAAAGAGCTTGTCCTCAAGCTCAACTTTCGGGGCAATCATCCAGAAAATCTGGATCAGTATCAACTTGTTCAATTCCAGCCCTATCTTGAAGTTGACATAGATAAATTTCGACTTTATCAGTTTGCTGAAACATAACTAATTTACCCATCAGGTTGCTACTTTCAAGAGGTCCAAATCGTTGATATTCTTCCTAACTCATTGAGTCTTTCACTCGTTTAAGTTGATAATACCATAATGGTGCTAGTCCGAACATGTGAAATCCAGCCACATCAATCTTTTTTACTTTCGTGGTATGCTGATTTTTTTTCAAAAAAATGTTCACAACGATGTGCCCGAAGTAATGGGTTATTAGTGCAGTTATAAGTAGGTGGTGTATTGCCTTTCGTAGCAGAAATTGTTGATCTGCTAGTTGTATGGGCACTATTTGACTCAGGTTTATGGGTTGCTGATTTTGTGGAGTCAATTCCCAATATAGATAATTGTTCTTGGATGACTTGGACAATTCTTTCGATGATGCGTTGTTCCATTGCTGTAATTTTAAAGTGCATTAGGGTTTCTATAATGGTATGTTCTCCTTGTAATAGAGAACTGATCTCATCGCCCATTGTATTAGGCTTACCACCCAAATTGTTATGAATCTTTAGTGAAGGATCGATACACAGGGCGATATATAAATCAGCTCTTCAAAGGGAGACCGAAACCTTAGAGTTCATTAAAAGAGAGAACTTTGATCTCTTCAGCTCTTCAAAGGGAGACTGAAACCTTAGAGTTTAATGGAAGAGAGAACTCTAATCTCCTGCATTTTGCTGAAAAATGACTTCCCGATTTATTCATCAAAATCCAAGTTGACATTGATAAATTTTGACTTTATCAGTTTACTGAAACATGACTAATTTTCCCACTAGGTTCCTACTTTCAAGAGGTCCAAATCGTTGATATTCTTCCTAACTCATTGAGTCTTTCAATCGTTTAAGTTGATAATACCATAATGGTGCTAGTCCGAACATATGAAATCCAGCCACATCAATCTTTTTTGCTTTTGTTGTAAGCTAATTTTTTTCAAAAAAATGTTCACAATGATGTGCCCGAAGTAATGGTTTATTGTTGCCGTTATAAGTAGGTGGTAGCCTTTTGTAGCAGGTATTGTTGATCTGATAATTGTCTAGGCACTATTTGACTCAGGTTTGTGGGTTGCTGGTTTTGTGGAGTCAATTCCCAATCTAGACAATTGTTCTTGGATGACTTGGACAATTCTTTCGATGAGACGTTCCATTGCTGCAATTTTAGTGTGCATTAGGATTTAGGTAATGATATGTTCTCCTTGTAATCGAGAACTGATCTCATCGCCCATTGTGTGAGGCTCATCGCTCAAATTGTTATGAATCTTTAGTGAAGGATCGATACACAGGGCAATATATAAATCGGCTCTTCAAAGAGAGACTGAAACCTTAAAGTTCACTAAAAGAGAGAACTTCGATCTCTTCAGCTCTTCAAAGGAAGACTGAGACCTTAGAGTTCAATGGAAGAGAGAACTCTAATCTCCTACTTTTTGCTAAAAAATGACTTCCCAATTTATTCATCAAAACCCCTTTAAATAGGAGTATTATTACATCAATAGAAAGTCTAATACTTATGAAAGTAGGAGACCTCAATCCTATTCCAAACTAATAACTATAACTTAATCTAATCCTTATGAAACTCTGAAACATAAAACATATTCTAGAATAATAAATAAAGCAACTAAATATATAATTAAATACTTGAACTAATGACTTCCAACGCATCCATAACATTACTCCCCTCACGTTGAAAGATCTTGTCCTCAAGCTCAACTTTCAGGGCAATCATCCAGAAAATCTGGATCAGTATCAACTTATTCAATTCCAACCCTAGCTTGAAGTTGACATTGATAAATTTTGACTTTATCAGTTTGTTGAAGCATGAATAATTTGCCCATCATATTGCTACTTTCATGAGGTCCAAATCGTTGATATTATTTCCAACTCATTGAGTCTTTCACTTGTATATGTTGATAATACCATAATGGTGCTAGTCCGAACATGTGAAATCCAGCCACACCAATCTTTTTTTCTTTTGTTGTATGATGATTTATTTTTAAAAAAATATTCACAACGATGTGCCCGAAGTAATGGGTTATTGGTACCTTTACAAGTAGGTGGTGTATTGCCTTTCGTAGCAGGAATTATTGATCTTCTAGTTGTCTGGGCACTATTTGACTTAGGTTTGTGGGTTGTTGATTTTGTGAAGTCAATTCCCATTCTAGACAATTGTTCTTGGATGAGTCGGACAATTATTTCGATGAGGCGTTGTTCCATTGCTGCAATTTTAGAGTCCATTAGGGTTTCTGTAATGGTATGTTCTCCTTGTAATCGAGTAATCGAGAACTGATCTCATTGCCTATTGTGTTAGGCTCTGATACCAAATTGTTATGAATCATTAGTGAAGGATCGATTCGCAGGGCTATATATAAATCAACTCTTCAAAGGGAGACTGAAAACTTAGAGTTTATTAAAAGAGAAATCTTTGATCTCTTCAGTTCTTCAAAGGGAGACTGAAACCTTAGTGTTCAATGAAAGAGAGAACTCTAATCTCCTGGTTTTTGCTGAAAAATGACTTCCCGATTTATTCATCAAAAGCCCCTTTAAATAGGAGTATTATTACATCAATAGGAAGTCTATGGAAGTAGGAGACCTCAATCCTATTCCAAAATAATAACTATAACTTAACCTAATCCTTATGAAACTCTGAAACATAAAACCTATTCTAGAATAATAAATAAAGCAACTAAAAATATAATTAAATACTTAAATTAATGACTTCCAACGCATCCCTAACAGAAACACACCTAGATGGAAGAATTAATCGGTTCTGAATGAATTAAAGAAAGAGGGAATGCTCATATACCACTTAGCTTTCACTTCACTCCTTTATATCAATCCAACCAACTTATAATAGAGAAGCAATGTCAACTGAGTTGTTTCTTGAAATACATCTTTGGCTTCAAACAAATCCGCATTTGATGTGCAACAATTAATACTCTAAAGGTTTGGAAAAATATGTTTTTCTAGGAGACTAGATACTTTCAGCCTTCTAGCAGTTCTTTACTTTTGAGTTCTACAGTTGCAGATAATGAGAAATGCATTTTTTTCTGTGTAATGTACTTTAGCTTGCTAAGGATTTTGTACTTTAAAATCAAATGGCTACTTCTACAATACAACCAAAAAATTAAAGAAACTAACAGGAAATAAAAAGAAACTAATCAGTTATTTCTTAACATGACACTTGTTGCTTGGAACGTTGAAAGATTTTATAATGTGTTGTGCTTAAATTAAGTTAGTTTTCTTTGCTTTCTTCTTTTTTCTATTGGATCTTAGAGAAATATATATATGTCTCCTTTGTTTGCTTTGATTAGTTCTCCTCACGAATGGATCACTAAGAGTAATTTTAATTTTGGATTTGATTTCAATTCAGAAAATGGAAATTTCAGATGAAGAAATTGCTTTTAGCGTCACTTCACACCTTTCCACTCCTCGATTCTCTCCGGATATACCACAAGCAGCTAACCCTTTTGTCTCGGAAGGACTTGTTACTAAGTTGTATTCTGTGGAGAGTAGGATTTCAACATTGCAAAACATGTTACTTGATTTAAACAAAAGAATGGAGGATTTATCGAAGTCGGTGTATGAAAGTTTGAACCTGTTTTTGGTTGGTGGGGCTGCTTCTTATTTTACTCAGAGGAAACTAACTTGCAACGAGGGAGTAAAAATATTAGTATTGACACTTGTGGCTTCTATTTTAAACTTCTGTCGTGTTAAGAAATTGGTAACAACAAACCTCTCTAGTTTGAAAAGATTGAATGCTTCTCACTTGAGGACTTATGGACATTTAGTTAGTGAGGCTATAGTTTTAAGGGAATTGGAACAAGCAAAAGCTGATGCCGTAGATGGGGTTGAAAATTTGATTTTGGAGGGGAGTATAAGGAGGACTCAATTTTTCCAACGGATAGAGGACATTGTTGATACGCATGGTGCAGATATTTTTGTTCCAAAAAACGACAGAGTTGAAAAAATATTGTTTGGTGCGACGGTACTCAGCCACATTCTTGCATTAATCTTTCTTACTCTAGTGTTGCAATGTGGTAAGTTTTTTATATCTAATGTTTTTCATATCACTATTTTTTTAGTTAAGATTATTCTATTCTAACTCTTAATTTGTTTTTGTTCAGGTGTTATTTGATTGCAGTTTGGATTTTCTTTTGTTCAAGAGTTTTCAGTTGTATCTAGTTTAATGGTTTGAATTGTTTGGATTTTTTTTTTTCAAGTGTTATGTTGCAATAGACTATTTTACATATAATTTGTCAAAACTGTCTTTTGATCTGAAATAATGCCCAACTTTTTGTTCTCACATAAATTCAATAAGATTTGCTTTTACACTTTAGATCTTCATCGGAATAGATAAAACATATACGCAATGAAAAATGGCATTGACAACGACTTAAATAAAATTAGTTGCCTATTGACATCAAATGCAGTTTGTATATAGAAGTTTTGAAAGAAATCCAACATTTATCGTCATCAACATCATAAACTAGAGTAATTTGATATCATGATGGTTTAGTTTTATTTGTAAAAATTGCTTAAGAGGATTATGTTTATAACCATGCTGGACTCTTCAATGGCGTCACAACTGACTTCACTTGTAAGTAATTCCTGAGACCATATTCTCCCTTTTCTCTTCCCTGACCACTCATCTTATAGCCACCAAAAGGAATTGTAGAATTAAATGTATCAAAGCAATTAATCCATACCATCCCAACTCTCGAGGCTCGTGCCAAGGTGTTTGCAGTGTCAATGTTCTGTGAAAATACTCCAGCAGCTAGACCATACTGAGAACTATTATCTCTCCGTACCATTTCATCAAGATCCCTGTAATGAACAAACGCATACCATAAATAAAAGTTGATAATAAAGCTCCACGTACTGTCAACATATATATTTGATCGTTCTCACATACTTAAATTTTAAGATGGACTGTACTGGACCAAAAATATCATCCTGTGCAATCAACATATCATCCTGACAATTGAACATTTTATTTGTTATGACAATTTATGGACGTTGATGACTAAAAATCACGTCTAACTAAAGTAGAAATGTATATACCTTAACATTAGATAAGACAGTGGGATTAATATAGTAGCCCTTTTTTGTAACACCCCGGAAACTAGTAAGTTGAACTAGTGAGTTCTAGAGTCTTGTAGTGGAGTTTTGGAGTGTCGTATGAGGGTTAAAACTCATAGAAACGATTCACGTTCTTAGAATGACATGTGTTGACACCCAATTTTGGACCTCCACAATATATATTAATCACCGAGCTTCTTAAATTCCAAACGATTTGAAATAATTAGTTTCTATAAAGTTCAAAATATTTTTTTTCAAGTTACTTTTAATTAATTTTATCTTTTTATAATTTTTAGATAATATATAAGTTTTACATAATTATGTGTATAATTAGTATATTTTATAAATATTCGAAAATTGCCTCAAAAAAAATTTTAGTTTTACTTAAATAGTTGGTTAATTGGTTTAGTTAATTAATACTTATATTTTTGAGTTATTAGTTTATAATTAAGTTAATTATTTTATTTCGTTAAGATTAAGAAGCTAACTAATTAATCATATTAATTTATCTTATTTAATTATTAGCCGGATTTACTAAATTTGATCAATTTGGCTACAATTGAAATTCATATGCCTATTGTGTAATTGCAATTTCAGCCATTCTTTTACCTCCATTCAATCCTTTGTAAAATAATTTGGGCCATTTTTCTAACATCCCAAGTCAAATTAGCTGACCCCATTCCCAACCCACATTACTACACAACAATTCCAAAATAACCCAGGCCAACACTAATACAATACCAGCAGCCCACCATTCCAGCAATACATACGTTACATCAACAACGTAAAACAATACCAAATCGACCCACCCCTGTACATTTTCTTCTTCTTCCAGCAAAACAGTGACCAAACCCAGAACCTCAAATTGCGACCCTAAGCCATCACAAAATTGTTACAGTTGGAATATTATCGAGTCATCCACCTCGTTACAGTTGGAATATTATCGAGTTATCCACCTCGTTACAGTTGGATTATTATCAAGCCATATGGCTCGTTGCAGAGATCATCGTCGTTTGCCATGCACAAAGCAAGCAATGACATCTCCAAATCCTTATCAAATCATGAGTTGTAATGTGCATACGGTTTTCAAGAAAACATCATCTGTATTTTTCAAGGGAGAATTTTCTCCATGCATCGCAAGAAAATCAACATCGGCTGCATCATTTTCATTGCAAGAACAACATCAAGAGAATCATCAACAACGATATCAAGAGAACTATCAGCATATTTCATCAGCCTATTTTATTACTTCGACATCAAAATAAAAGTACATGGAAGATTATATTACAAATATGAAATACGAGCATTATTTGCTTTACGTCAAACTGGAGGAAGCTGACGCCAAATGTCCAAGGAGAGCAATTAGTGACAACATAGTAAAATGCACTATCTCCTATTTGAATTACATTTTTATGATAATGAGTTTTATCTCAGTCTTTCTTGAGAGCATCCGCAAGGGCAAATTCTCAAAACAAACCACAGGTGCGGATGACATAAAAAAGGATGCAACACAACGTGAAACTTTTTCTTAGCAGCGAACTGGGACATAGTTCAAAGAGGAGTATCAAACTCTTAGGACGCGAGCTGAGGAGCGACTTCCACCACAATCAAACCACACCATCATCAAAAGGCATGTGGGCATTTCCTTGGGTTTATCAGTTCCAATTTTGCATCCGAAAAACTTTCCACTCTCACCGGAGGCAGCTTTCCAATCTGAGTGACAATGCATCAAGAGCTTTGGAAATTATGTCTGTGTAAGTTCTTAATTATGGGTGTGAAATGTGTCACATTCATGGCTAACAGGTGGCAAGCCTCTTTTTCATACTTGACTTACTTGTCACTCTTCCAGAACCGAAGGTTATCTAGTATAATAGATTTCTTTTTCAACCGATCGAGTCAAACTACAAACAACTTGATTCCTAAGGTTTAAGGATATGTAGGCGGTATCAATGTTGAAAACTCGGATGTATTCCGATATGCGCTCTAAATCTTATTCCCAAGCGTTTGGGTCTCTTTATAATTCGATATCGGGATGACTTTTGAGTTCTTTCAAAATCGTGTGTCAAATCAAGAGTGTCGAACTACAAGTGACCTGAATTCTCATATAGCCTGAAATATGTAGGAAACCCAATTCCGGGATTCAGCCGTAATTCCTAAAGTCCGTACCAAAATCCCTTTCCTAAGGATGAAGATGTGGTCGGTCAAAATTGGATTTGTCAATTTCATTTGCCTTGAATTTCTTTCATCAATCCAAGTCAAACGAGGGACAGTTGTTGACACCCAATTTTGGATCTCCACAATATATATTAATCACCGAGCTTCTTAAATTCCAAACGATTTGAAATAATTAGTTTTAATAAAGTTCAAAATATATTTTTTCAAGTTACTTTTAATCAATTTTATATTTTTAGAAGTTTTAGATTATATATATGTTTTACATAATTAAGTGTATAATTAATACATTTTATGAATATTCAAAAATCGCCTCAATTTTTTTTTTAGTTTTACTTAAATAGTTGGTTAATTGGCTTAGTTAATTAATACTTATATTTTTGAGTTATTAGTTTATAATTAAGTTAATTATGTTATTTAGTTAAGATTAATAAGCTAACTAATTAATCATATTAATTTATCTTATTTAATTATTAGCCGGATTTACTAAATTTGATCAATTTGGCTACAATTGAAATTCATGTGGCTATTGTGTAATTGCAATTTCAGCCATTCTTTTACCTCCATTCAATCCTTTGTAAAATAATTTGGGCCATTTTTCTAACATCCCAAATCAGATTAGCTGACTCCATTCCCAGCCCACAGTACTACACAACAATTCCAAAATAACCCAGGCCCAACACTAATACAATACCAGCAGCCCACCATTCCAGCAATACATATGTTACAGCAACAGCGTACAACAATACCAAACTGACCCACCCCTGTACATTTTCTTCTTCTTCCACCAAAACAGCGACCAAACCCAGAACCTCAAATCGCGACCCAAAGCCATCGCGAAATCCAGTGACCCGAGTCCAGCACGCGCGTCTGTCTCCCTCTCTCCCTTATCCTCTCCGTACGGGAATAATCCAGGTGTCCCATCTCCTTGAGTCTTTATCCTTCACCAATGAATCAGACGACTCTCTCTTTTTTTTTGTTAGAAATTAGTACAATTACAGCTTTCAACCTTATCCTGAAAGGAATTCGAATTTTGAATTTTGAATTCACCCAAAATTCCTCACTCGTTTTCCCTCCATTTCAGCTCTTTTCTCCTCTATAAAAGCCAATTTATTCTTCATTACGGGAGCGGGCAAAATATTTTATAACGTAGGGGAGAACAGTGAGAAACAAATATAAGAAAGGAGTCGAAATTTACAAAGTATAGACAGCTTATATTAGAGCTAGATGATAAGGAAATAAAATGGATATACGCAAAGCGTTTTGAGATAGGTTGTGAGATTAGGAGTACTTGGAGCCATACTTCCTCGATTTTACCTCTTGCGAGTCTGTTGTAGTCTATTTGTGGTCGTGGAAAGCTCTTTAGCTCTTTTTGTCTCAGTTCGCTGCCACAAATAAGGTAACATTCCTTCCCTTATTCTCTTTTGCTACAGTTCTATTTTTCATATGATAAGAAATGCATATTTCAGTGATTTTCATTTTTGTTTTCTTATGTGCATTTAGCCTATCTCTCGTTTCTTTAGCTTCTGAGTTTCAGAGTTATTCTCAGGTTTCTGTATGTTTAAATTTTACTCTAATCACAAATCGTTAGTATAGTTTAGTATAAATCAACCTTCTATTGTTTAATCCGTTCTAAATGAATTGTTATCGCTTTAGCGGTTTGTTTTAAACTCTGTTGTTGATAAGATAGCCTCATGTTAGTTATTTCAAACTTGCAGTATCTTGACTCTAGTATAATTTCTGATTTCTTAGATTATGATTTTTGGTGCTTGACTGCTGGATTCATTCTGGAATACTCATTAGATGTAGTCTTATGTTCAAGTTTTGATGTTCAACCTATCTAATTGAGCTCATAATGTTGTTGCTTGTTTGAATGACTTGAGATGTATGCTGATTTCCTCTCTTGTTGGCTTAATCTGAAATTCCCTCATGTCCATTTAATTCAACCCCCTATTTACTGTAGCATCGTAATTATTTTTCTCTTCATTGGCTAAAATTTGATTGCGAATTGTTGAGATATAAGTTTAAATTTCAGGTTCTAGTTTGTTTAAAGCTCATGAATGTTTTAAGTCTCGTGTTTACCTTAGTTTCTACTCGTCTACCTGCCTATTCTGATTTGATTTGTACCACTCTGTTCTGAATTTATTTGGTATTCGTTTAGTCTAGTTTAGCTTCGAATTTTGTCACCTGAATCAAGTCATGCCTTGCTGTTCATTTGGAGCTTTATTTTCTTACATTAAGCCCATGTAAGCATGGTTAATTGTTAAGCATATGTCCAGCATGTTTCCATCTTTTTTTTCTTCCCCTGGTTGAATTCGTATGATGATATGCCCCCACTGTTTTCCCTATCTATAGTAAGCTTGTTTGAAGTGTATTTTGCCATCAATGTTGTTAGTTACCGTCTCCAGGGGGTTTGTTTATTTCATTTCCTTTTGGCCTGATTTGGTGGTCTTTCCTAATATGTTGTAGTAGCATTGGTTCATTGATATAAAATTATATTCATTGTTAAAGTGACTAGGTTGGGGTAGCTTCATATTCATTTGGTTTTGTGAGATTAGAATGTTTCATTTAATATCATTCGGAATAGATGAATTATAGGATAACAACTTTGATATTAATAGTGGTATATTATATTGCGCAGTATTTTACAGCATCGTCCTTTTTTATTTATCATTTTGAACTTTTATTAACTTACTTACGTCCATTTCTTTTGCATGTGAATTTTCCCAAGTCTTCACGGACTCTATCTTTGCATTTCAAAGGGGGCCACGAAGCCCCCCAAAAATCCTTTTTCGAGTCGGCCAGCATGAAAAATCAAAGATCAGGTCCTTGACATTGACGTACAGGTGTTCGGAGCGAATCAAAGTGTTGGATACACACAACATACATCGATATACATCAGTCGTATACGCTATATATTGCATTGAAAATGGGCTAAAAGTGCCCTAAATTGTCAGCTTTGTATTTTGTTACTTTTGGGCCTAAGCTCTTCATTTGCAATTATTATTATCACTTGTTAGTTCTTAGGACAGGTGGAAGATGGGCCTAAGACCCAAAGAAATCAATTTCAAGATTAGTCTAGGACATGTACTAATTATTGCGCCTTTGGATCCAAAATTGAAGGCCCAAGTATTGACCCAAGCGGACAGAACCAGACTTGGGCCCAAATATTTCTTCTCTTTATTTGCTTACCTATTTGTTATGGTGTCTTATTTGTTCAATTAATTTTAAGATTTTTCACCAACTCAATTCCCCAAAGAAGAATCAACCTTGCCTTTTAAAATCAAACAAGTGTATCTTTATTTTACTTGAATTTAATTTTTTTTAGTATTTTTGGTATTTTTCTACTTAAGCAATAATCTTATTTCCCCTCCCATAAAAATGAGTTAAAAAAATGTTTACTTCCTCTATTTATCCAAGCATGCCTATTCTCTATATAATTTAGCCAAATATAATTAATTATTGGATAACCGTGTGTTAGCGGGCATTTCGGGTGCTTTCAAACCCTTCTCGAAATGCTAATAAGAACCCCGAACTCCTTTAAATATTTTCAGTTAATTTCTGTTTGAATCTTTTGAAAGAATCAGTTTTCTTAATTTCCCTTTAAAAATCAAGTGGCGACTCAAAACGTTGTTTTCTCCTTTTAAATAAAATAACATGTTTAGGGGTTAAACGTCCGGGTACGACTCCCCAAGGACCACCCAAGGGGTCCTTGAGGAGGACCCCAAAACAATCCATAAAAGCTGTCAAAAAATAGGAACCACACATGGCCATCCACTGGCCGTGGTTGGACCCACGCCCAGTGGGTTGGGGTCGTGGGTCAAGGCCTAAGTTGGCCTACAACTTCTGAGCTACAGACTCCAACCACGAATCAAGATGATTCCCAGTCAACCCACCCACGGTTCGTGGATGGGGGTCTCGTGAATGCTGCCAGGTTTTAACAATTTAGTTTTTAGTTAAGGGCTTGAGGGTTAGTTTAGTTATTAATTAGGGGTTAATATAGGTCGGTTAATAGGTTATTTAGCCACCTATATAAGTCTAATAGGCCCCTAAACTAAACATTATAACTAATTCATCTAAGAACCCACTTAAGAAATTCTCTCTCTAGAAGAGAAGAAGAATAAGAAGAAGAAGAAGAGGAGAGGAAGTTGGGGCAGCAACTTAGGATGATTTTGTCCATGGATTCAAGCTTTGTTTAGGGCTTTGATAAGAGGTATGTGAAGCTTAATCATCTATTGGTTCTTCCACCCATAGAGCCCCCTAGTTTCCCCTCTATTGCGAAGTCAAAAACCCAATTCTAGCTAGGGTTTGCTTCTACATTGTGGGTAGCGTTTGAATATGATTCCAATGAGTTGGATAGTACTCAATTATGATGGTTTTAGTATTGAATCATTATGTATTGATAAGTTCATGTGATTTTTATGGTAAACCCTAGTTTCAATTGATGAATGTGTTATTTGTGGGTTTATGCCATTAGAGGTGAATATGAAGGTTCAAAGGTAATCTTCCTAAATCAATGTCATGTATAGTAATTGATCAAAGTTAGGGTCATATTATCATGAATAGAACTAGACTTGAATGAATGTGGAGGATCTTGACTTGTAAAGATGAAATTGAACCTTTATGATCAAATATGACTAGAATCACCTACTTATGAAGAACATGAATAGAATACCTTGAAAACATAGGTATAAATAAAATATTAAGAAAGAAACCTTGAGAGTAAGGTTTCTGATCATAATAGTAGGGCTTTAGAGGGAAGCTAAGGTGATTAACTATTGATGTTAGGGCTTTGAAAGTAAGGTCTAAAATAGATTATAAGTCTAATAGGTTAAATTGTGGTGAAAGTTCTATAATCACCTAACCTACCTTATGAAGGCTTGAATGTGTAAAGTGATGAGATCACTTGAACATGGATTGTTGTCAAGGACATCCTTCCATGAGACATGAGTATTAAGCAAGGCTTAATAGTGTAAATCTTGGGTGTAAGATTTACCCTAAGTGGTTATTGTCAATGAGAATAAAGGGTCACACAAGATAGGGTCCGAGTGCCTAGTTGAAAGGAGAACCACACCTAGTTGATGTGAGGAATATCCAAGAAAAGGGGGAACTCTTACACAGTAGAGTGTGGGTTTTCCCAAAGCTAGGTCTCATGAGATGGAACCCTTCACATAGTTGAGTCAAGGATTCTAGTAGCAATCTCCATATCCTTTGAACTAAGACATGCTTAAAGAAGTAGCTCATAGTGTTCCAAAGCATAAATGAACTAAGATTTACTAAGATGTACTTCATAGTGTTCATGAGTATAGATGGACTAAGATTTACTTAAAGATGTACTTCATAGTGTTCATGAGTATAAATGGACTTAGACATGCTTAAAGTAGTATCTCATAGGGTCTATTTTTAATAAGGAACCTAGACTTGCTTAAAGTAGTATCTCAGAGGGTTCAACCTAGTAAGGGACTAAGATGTGCTCAAGGGGGTACCTCATAGTGTCTAAGGCTCAAAGAGAGGGACTAGTTTCCAACCAAGAAGTAAGAGCATGAGAACCCAAATGTTATATTTAGTGTGATTGGTAGTATGGGATGCCAATCATGCCTTACATAAGTGTGGCTTAGGGTTAACCAAGAAAGTGTTTCTTAGAAGTTGTAAGTTGAGATAGGGTTGTGCTATAGTTGCCTTATTTGATAGTATGGAGTTAAGGTGAGAGTTTTCCCTTAGTCATGAGAAGTTGAGTATTATGACAAGATCCTTAGGTGACTAGTTTGAAGGGCCTAGAGGAGTACTTTGTGTGGGTAGTAATATGGGATGCTAGTCGTACACGGTACGACTTGAAGCTACTTACGAAAGCCTAAAACTTATCCATGACATGAAAACCTAGGTCTTGACTATGAACAGGGACTATGCCCAAGAACGACCAAAGAGAGGTACATGACTTGGATGGTAGTATGGGATGCTATCCTTGCCCTTACACATGTATACTTGGAGATGGCTTGTGAAGTAGTTCTCTTGAAGTACGAAAGACTTAAGGTTGAATTATGTAACCATGTATATCTAAGAAAATACTATGCCATGAATATGATGTATCTCATATGCTCATTTATATGTCTTATGATGACTTATAATATACGATGCTTATGTTGGAGATTATGATATGATGATTATGCTTATGATTATGTTATTGTCTCTTATGCTTATGTCTTATGTTGTTATGCTAGCTTTCATACTTAGTACATTTTGTACTAACACATACTGCCTACATTCTAATCAAATGTAGGGTTTGGAGATTGAGTTCTACTTGGAGATAGGTTTCTAAGGAGCTAAGGAAGATTGAAGATTTGGTGAGTCCCCATAGCTTCGAGGACGAACATGTTACCTTTCTTATGTCATTTACTTTTATGTTTTAGAATTTGTATGGGTTGCGTCCCAAGAGTTCTTTTATTCAAGTCAAGTTAGATGGTTTGAGACAAAAGTGTAGTAAAGTCTTCCGCTTTCTTATATGAAAAAAATGACTTCGATTGTAAAGAAAAGTTTTAAATTATTCCCGTATTTTCCTACTATCTCTTGTTCAAGATATGCTAAGGGCTTGTATGAGACTTTTCGGAGTCTCATACGTCGTGTTACTTCTGGGGTGTAGACTCGGGTCGTGACATTTTTACCAAATTGCTCGCCGCCAGTTTCAAAAGTAGCTCCACTATCAACACCAGATCTAATGTACTTCGTGGTCTTATCAAATTGTTTTGAATCAATTTGTTCCGACAGGAAACTCTCAGGTTTAGTATTGTTACCTTAAGAGAAGACTTAAAAGGAATGACATATGTTTTTGTTTTTTGTCATACAGGTTTAATACATTGGTTTCCAATATTTTAGATAAGAAAGAGGATTAGTTAGGAGATCATGAATACCTGAGGACCCTGCTCAGTGCCTGATTTAAACGGATCACCAACTACTCGTTTCACGGCGTGTGTCTTTGCCTTCTCTAGAAATTCATCATAGACTTTCTCGTGAACATAGGTCCGAGAGCCAACACAACAACATTGGCCCTTTAAAATTTATGTCATATGTGTTAGTATCTAACATGAACCTAACCAACAACCAATACAGAAGTATAGATAGGAAATAGTACATGATTAAAGAAGAGAGCAAAGTGAGCTTGTTCAATGGTCGTATCAATATCAGAATCCTCACAAACAATAAAAGGGGATTTCCCTCCAAGTTCCAATGTCACAGGCTTAAGATTTCTCTTAGCAGCCAATTCAAGTATGGTTTTCCCGGTCTCTGTTGATCCAATAAAAGAAAGTTGTTGGCGGTTGATGGGTCGTGGATAGTCATTGTGTTGTTGTTCAATTCGGCCAAGTGGAGGGGCAATGTGGTAAATTCCTTTTTGAGTTAGTTTAGTTAATGGACGGTTATTATTGGTTTATTAATGTATTTTAAGGGTTTTAAAAGTATTAAATGTAGAAATCTCACCCTAAGTATGGAGAAATCAAGGATTGTATTGATAATTGAATGGTTGAGTTACATACTCCTTATATAAGAGAAAAGTCTTATACTAGTTACACTAGGAATCCAAATACAACATAAATATATTATTTACGCCTTATCCTAGTCGACTACATCAGCTTTAGTCGTACATAATATAGACTTATACATAAATTAGGATTTAGTAGTCTAGTCCTAGTGTAACTCTAACTCTAACTCGTCAGTCAACTTCGTCGAACCTGTTCCTTTGACATGTTCCATCAGCTTCCTTCAACACTTCCCCTCAAGCTAGTGAGTGGAGGTAGTGTAACTACTAGCTTGCTACGAAACTTAGCAAAAACCTGTTTGGTTAATGCCTTTGTATGAATATCAGCTAGCTGATCCTTAAACCTCACAAACTGGGTAAGAAATTTTCCTCTGGCCACCTTCTCACGAACAAAATGATAATCCATTTCAACATGTTTAGTTCTAGTATGCATAACTGGATTAACTATCATAAACAAGACACTCATGTTATCACAATACAATGTAGGTACAAATCGAAGAAATACCCCAAGGTCATGAAGTAGATACATGATCCATCTCATCTCTACTGCAGTGGAGGCTAGTGCTTTATACTCAGCTTCAGCACTCGATCGGGCAACTGTGGACTATTTCTTGGAAGTCCATGAACTACAGTTTGCACCTAGGTAGATGTTATAGCCTGTAGTTGTTCTCCTAGTGGTGGTGCAACCTCCCTAATCAGCATCTGAGTATCCATAC